TCATACAGAAAGGAAAACGAAAATAAAATAAAAATTCAAAATAAAAAGAATGTTTTGAAATGTTGAAATTTTTTTAAAATATTATTAAATTTTTTTTGTTTGTTGTTAAGCAAAATGTCAGTAGAATTAAAAAAAAAATAATTTATTTCCTAATAACCAAATGCTAAATTTTGGTCTAACAGTTACTCTAACATAAGTCATATATATTCGGAAAAATGTTTAAATTTTATGGTGAAGATATAAAATAGGTAATAGCTTTTCATAAAATATGAAATAGCAAAACATAGGGAAAATATTCGGTTCCTGTAGTCTCTGAGAAATATAGTTTTCTCTCAATTTTGATGAAATTTAAAGATACATTCTTGACTGCCTATATATATTTTCGATAGTCTAAAATAACTCAATTCTGGCTCTCTGTACCTTTTATTCACATGGTCTTCTTTATAGATTATCTCGCATTAAAATTTCCTCGTTGATGCCTGAAAAAATATAATTCTGGTGGTCCTAAAATACCCTATTAAGGCTATCTCATGATCGTATAACATCGCTTACTTCCGGTCCTCTATAAGTACTTCCTTCTGGTTGAATATAAACTCTTCGTTGTATTATTAAACATCATCCTTATTATTAAATATTTTATTCTTTAATACTTTTTAATTTTGTATTTTATTATATTTTATGAAACTTTAAATATGTTAAAAATTTAATAACAAATTACATTTTTTTGCGATATAAGGATTTCGAAAATATTATATGCCTTCTAAAATTCTTTATGAATAACCCTTCTTATTCTACTGACATTTTGTTATAATCATTTTAATTTTTTATTACTTTTTCCATTGTTCATCTCAACAAACTAATATTGTAGCAAAATGATTTGTTGTTATTCTGGTCATATTTCAATACAGAAATATTTGAATTTTTTGAAATTTTTTTATTTGAAAATAACGAAAATTTCTTAAAAGAAAACAAATAAAGTGTGAAAGTAGATCATGACATTGATTGCTTACGGTTCTGGTTTTTCGAGCTTCTTGACTTAAAATATATATATGTAATTATTTTTTTGTTTATATATTTATATGAATAAGAAAACGTTCCATTTTTGTTTTGTTCTCAACTAACATTAAGAGTATTTAGGAAAAAATTCTGTACAAAATGACCGTAAAAAAATGTAGATAATATACGAGACATTGCAAAAAACAATTAAGAGAATAAGAAAAAAGAAACACAAACGTCTTCAACTACAATATTAGTGATGCGAGAAAAACGTTCTTTTGACGAATATCAAAATGCAATTAGTTAAGTATTTGTTTTTTTTGTTATTGTGGTGGTAGTTAAGAAAAATGCAGTTGTTTTTTTAAATGAATTTAATTAATTAAATAAGAGGGAATTATAATCTCATATTATCATCCAGCAAAAATATTAATACATGGCGAAAATTTTATTTTTTTAAGAGTACCAAAACACTTGTTTTTTTAATATAATCTTTCATTGAAAGATCCAGGCTTCAAATGTTTTATGACACGAGAAATAACATACTCCATTTTATGACAATTTTTATGATCATTATTTTGGTATATAATTAATTTCTATAGATATTACAGATTACAGATTACTATGCAAGACTAGGAACCCTAGTCTTGCATAGTAATCTATGGTGGCTAATCTAAAATCTACATAATGTTCTACTTCAAAAATTTTATGAAGACTGCAAGATTTTTGGTTAATCACTAATTTCCTTTTCTTTTTTCCATTATAAAGACTCAAAAGTGACCAAAAGTCCAATTATATATTTTAGCAAATACCTACAGATTCCACATTTAGATCCATTCAGCACATTTCGAAGAAATAAGCACACATTTTCAAGTCTACCCCAAATATAAATCGTACTTCTAATTTCACTAAACTTAGTACCAAGAACCCTTTGGTACTTCTTTTTAACTTTTCGCAAGTGATCCACATTTCAAATTTCAGAATTCTACCTTTTCTCGTTTGTACCATATTCAGCACGTTTCAGTAGTATTTTCGTACTCTTCTAGTTAGAATTTCCAAAAAGCCTATTTACCATATTGGGTATCACTTAGTACTTTTCGGACGAATAAGTTTCCATATCTACTATATTTAGTACTCTTCGTACTAATAAGTTTCCATATCTACCATATTTTGTACCATTTATTACTTTTCGTACTAATAAGTCTAAATTTCAACCTCTAACTCAACCCTATATTCCAAATATAAATTTTCCATCTCTATCCGTTCACTCAAATCTACACATTACTATACTACCTTAATCCTGTAATTTTAATTCCAAATTTAAATATTTCATCTCCATCCGGTCACTGAAATCCAAAATTGTACCACATTTAGTACCATTTGGTACAAATACAACCATGTCTCAATCCAACAGTAATTTTAATTGCAAATTATAGGATTCCTGCCCTGTCGGTTCACACAAAACAAATTGTGCTGATATTACAATATTTTTAATACCAAATGTCAGGATATCTGCTCTATCCGTTCACACAAATCCAAATTGTACAATATTTAGTACTTTTCGTACCCATAAGTACGAATTTCCTAAACTACCTCAATAATGTTTCTAATAGTAAATTTAATTGAAATTTGAGCTTGCCATTTCTATTCGTTCAATCAAATCTAAAATGTACCAAGTTTAGTAACATTTGGTATACATACATTTCAACAGTAATTTTAATCTCAAATTTCAGGATTCCAGCCTATATGTAGTACCATTGTAAAATATTTGGTACAATATGTAAAATATTTGGTACCATTTAGTATTTTTTGTTCCCATAATTTCCTAAGCTACCTCAATTCTACACTCCAACCGCAATTTTAATACCTCAATTTTGGAGTTCAGCTCTACCCTTCCATACATAATTACCAAAATATACCAAATATAGTACCATGTGGTACACATAAGTATTATACTATCATATCAAAATTTTGCACTCCAACAGCAAACATTATTCCAAATATTAGGTTTCCAGTCATCTCTTCGTTTACTCAAAATCCAAATTGTAGCAAATCTAGTGCCGTTTTGTGCTTTTCGTACACATAAATATGAATTTTCAAAGCTATGTCATCTCATCAGTAATCTTAATTTCAAATTTCCGATTTTCAGATCTATCCGTTCACCCAAAATCCAAATTATACTAAATGTAGTACCATTTAGTACTTTTCGTATACATAAGTACATATTTCCAAAACTACCTCAATTTTATACTCCAACAGTCATTTTAATTCCCAATCTCAAGACTCTAACTCTATCTGTTCACCTAAATCCAATTTGTGCCAAATTTAGTACCATTTCGTATTTTTCGTACACATAAGTACGATTTTTTAAAGCTACCGCAATCCTGTAATCCAATATTAATTCTAGTTCCTTTTTCAGGATTCTATTCTATACTCTAAACTTAATGTAAATAGTACCAAATTTAGTACCATTCACTACTTTTCATACACATAAGAACGAATTTCTAAAGCCATTTCTATACATCAACACCACTTCCCAACCAGTATTCTATATAAAATTTCAATATTCTAGCTATATATTTTCAATATATATACACTTAGAAATTTGGTACTTTTCGTACACTTATCGTTCGAATTTATCGTACACTTATTGGTCGAATTACCAAAGCCTTTTTGCATATCTTTTTAACTTTCCGTCAGTGACCCACAATCCAATTTTCATAATTCTAGCTCCTTTCGCCTAATACAATGGTTACCATATTTAGTACATTTTAGTACTTTCCGTATCCTTCTAGTTCGAATTTCCAAAAACCCAGCCTTATCAGCCGCTTCGTCTGGGTGATGATCTGTCAGTCATCACCCACTTCTTACTAAGCTCTTTTACATATTAAGAAGATAACATTCATCCTTGCCTTGGAAGATATGTTTGAAATTTTAAAACTTGTCTAATTTGTTTTAGGCTTCGGAATTAAATTAACATTTTTGCTGGATAATAATTTAATAGCTAACAAAAAATGGTGTTTGTATTTGTTAGAGTGTTTAAGTATATGAAACAAAAAACATAAAAAATAATTATTGAGAGTAAAAAAGGAGTTAGTGGTGATTGGGTGAGAGAAAATAAATAAATAGATAGATAAAGAGTTTATTTTTTTTGATTTGTACAATTGAATTTGTTGTTGTATTTACCTTCTAAAAAGGTTGAAATCAAAGTTTAGGGGTATTTTGAATATTTTTTTGATTTAATTATTTTTTTTGTTATAATGAAATTGGAAAGAAAATTAGATTTTAATAGAATTATTTGTTATTGTATATGTTGTTTCAGATTTATAAATAAATAAAAAATAAAAAAGATAAAAAAATATGTAAAAAAGAATAGTGTAAATAAAATTCCAATTGGAGGGAATCACAACAAAAAAAGAAGAGAGATAGAGAGAGCGTATCAGAAACATTGTTTAGGGGAATTGTTCTCTTTTGTTGTTCCTTTTTTTAACTGGGACTGAGGGGAATATTTGGATATTGTTGTTGTGATTTAATTCATTTTTGTTTTTTGTTGTAAATAATTTTATATTTCATATAATGTTTTATTTTTTATCAATAATGTTAACATTTTGAACTGGGTGTGTTGGAGAGAGATATAAGATACGAATTGCATTGGTTTTGTATGCAAAGTATTCTTTTATATTCTTAAATATTTTGGGCGCGTGGCAGAGCAGGGTATAAACCCTACTCTCAGGTGTAATATTGTTGTCATATGTTTCCTTACTAGACACTTGGTTTAATTGTTCTGTTTTTGTTGCTTAATTTTTCACACAAACACACACACACATGTACATCAAGTTTATATATTTTCTTTAAATATTAAAAATGTTTTGTTTTTCGTTATTTCACTTAAAAAGAATTAGTGTTAAATATTTTTTCTTTTTTAATTCTTTTTCAAAAAACCTCATTTTATTGTTTTTGTTTTGTTTTCTAGAAAACTCATAAAAAAGCCTTAAAAAGTAAAAAACATCGTTCTTTTAAAATATTACATACCTGACCGCCTTCACCTTCAACGCTAACCAAATCACGCCATTCTTCAATGGTTTGCGCCAAATCGATGGTACACAGTGGAACCTTTACTTCACCAATTTGGTCATGTTTGGAGAATCGATCGAAATCGAATATGGCAAATACTAAAGTCTTGTTCATGGCATCGGCATAGGGTAAACTCTTTAAAAGTAAAGGAGATAGAAACAAAAATTTGTTATTTCCTCTTAAACCACTCAGATTCGAACTACGCAATTAGTATCGATTTACAGATGTGTTATGTTGGTGTTTAGAAAATAATGGAAAAATCCCAAGATTTTATAGTTTATATAATAAAATATATTTTTTGCATTTGCTTTGTTATTTCTAGTGATAATTTAGTCCGTCTTAAGGTTTAAAACATATTTTCCAACTTACCTTAAATGTAAATGTTTCATTAAAGACAGGACTAAGAGTTTTACGATGCACTTTGGTTTCGAACTTCTTCTTTTTGTCGGGCAATAGATAGACCTTAACGTAGGGATCTGATGTACCGCCCATATCCAAGGCTGGCAATTCTTCAGCTTGTATAACAGTTACTGCCAAACTGTTGGCATTGAAATCATATTCCAGCTAATTTTTTGGAAATAAATAAAATAAACAAGAAAAACAGGTACCCAGAAGCAGGATCAATCATTTGATTGTCCATTATAAATCCAAAAGGGTAACATGGATGGAAAATCCAGCGGGTAGCATTTTTTTCCGGAAAAAGAATTAAAATAAAAGGGGAAGATAGAAAATTAATAAATTTTGAAATAATATTTATAACAGTAGCGAGTAGTGATTTGTGAAAAGTATGGTGCATACGCTTGAGTTATGAATCAATTTTGTCAATTCCGAAGGCCGAATATTTGAAATGTGTAGTCAAATCAGATTTTGGGCTCAATTTTTTCAGGAATTTTGTGAATGAATTAGATTTAAAATTTATGTAATTTAATTTTTATTGCCACAAAATCAGGTTTGATGTAATGTTTTTATGTTTGTGATATATGTATTCATGTATTTTAATGTTTGAAACTACGAAATTAATAAACCTCGAAATTGAAAAAAATATCATTAAAGTTTCTATAAAAATTGGGCTCTCATAAAATCGTTTTTTTCAGAAAAATCGAAACATTTATTGCAAGTCCCAGAAAAAGGAAGATGAAGCCTAGAACGAATCCTCAGAATTTATTATATATATATATATATAGAACTGTCTCAAGAAGGTCTACAACATGTTAGTCAAAAGAGTCCTTTTTAGAGTAGAAATTATGCCACATCGATAATTTTGGAGTATGAATAAATACTGAGAGAGTTAAACTGCGACATGGTGGAGATACACTCGGAATAAACAGTCAAATTATAATAATAAATGCTTCTAAAAAACTTTCTGGCTCTTTGGTCTCTTAAAGGTATTCTGAACATAAAATAGAAATCTCTAAGTGGTCACATGACGTTTGAAGTCCCCCAAACAGATCTTCTCAAAGTAATTCAGGTCTTAAAACACTCGAATTGTCCATCTGCTTTCTAAATACCTCTGAAAACCATTCTGTCTACCGAACACCCATGATCGGTATTCAGGAAAAATAAAACTTTAGAAATTATTTTAGATATTTAAAAGACATCCGAACGGTATTCAGACCTTAAATAACCCTCAGAAACGCCTCCATGCCTCTGAAAGGTATTCTGACCTTATACGAGCTTCGAAAGCCCTAGATGATTTACTAAACCATCTTCTCACCAAAAGATTTCTGAAACTTTTCTGATCTTAAAAATCTCTCAAAAGGCGTTCGAGTCTTAAAATGCATCTGGTGGGGGACTCTGGCTTTAAATGACGTCAGAACGGCCTCAGAGGAGTATTCAGGCCAAAGATGACTTCTGAAAGTATTTCAGGTATTAACAGACATCTAATAGACTTCTGGTCTTAAAATACCTCTAAAAAATGTTCTGCCATTGAAGACCTCAGGGGAAAAATGATTTCCGATATTCAAAAACCTCTCAAAGGAATTCTGACGTTAAACGACATCTGATTGGTCTTTTTGGCTTAGGATGACCTCAGAAAGGCCTCCATGTCTTAAAGAAAGTCGCTGAAAGATATTCAGGTTTTGGAAGATCCCTTAAACGCCTAGTGTTTATATTTTGGTTTATGGAAAGGTTAAAATACTTTTCTAACAGAAAATTTATAAATATATAGCCACCATTATATATGTCTGGACCAATTGTAGGTAGATTTAATGCGCACCTCATATTTATAGATCAGCCTAACCGACATGAACGACGTTTTAACTTTTTTATTCTTTATTTGATATTTCGCAAAAGTTACAAACATTTATATTCGAATGAAATGTGGATTTAATTCCAAAACTAGTGAGCGGAGCAGTATAATCGGACGGGGCCGACCACAACTTTCTGCGTATTATTACTCGAGGCAAAGCGAGGTCAACAACACCTCTTCCTTACAGTGAAAATTTTCCAGATTCCCTTCACCGTGAATTATGTTGTGACGTTCGGTTTATAATTGTGGCCTATAGATCGACGTGAAAAAAATAATAATAATAAAAAAATAAGTTTAAATTTTTTAGGCGCTGTCTTTTTGGAATAACTGGAACATCGTGGAAAATTTAAAGCGATCGGCCCTCTAATGAGACAATGAGTTACTCAATAATAATATATACATGCAAAATTTCGTAAAGATTGGTCCATAACTGTAGCCTGTATCGTGTTTAGAAATTATAATGGACAGACGGACGGGCGGACACAAATGTCCGTCGCAGCTAGTTTAGATATTACGATAGGTATACTTAAATATGGGTCTCTTGGGGCTGCACAACAAATTTGTGTAGGGTTTAAAAAAGTCCATCCTGTAGGTTTACAATCCCCGATTAAGATATTCGTTTAATAGATATTAGTGATTTTAAATTTTTAAATGCCCATTACTATATGTCTAATTAATTTTAATTTTTAATTTTTTTTTCAGGTTCTCGATGGCACAATGAACTAAAATGAGTTATGTTTACTGGTAAGTATTTAAAAAAAAACATATATATTTATATAAGAAATTTAACATTGGGTTCCCGACAAATATTTAATCTATTTAAAATCTCAAAAGATATATTTTCAAAATGACATTGTTCAATATTCCAGGAAAATAATATTCCCCCGAACGTCAGTACATAAGTTTGGGAGTACATTACGGCCCCTCCTATCTTTAATAAATTAGAATAGAGTTTATTACGTTGATATTTAAAGCTTAATTAAATGATGTGCCTGGTTGAAGAAATTCGTCTTCATAGTAACATATTGAAAAAAATATTAATATTGCAATAAACTAAATTCCCACGTAGCCGTTAAACTCAAACTTTATTACTATTACGTTGTTTGGTTTTTTCATTTCTGTGTTTTGTGTTTATTTTGTTGTTTGTTTTTTGTTTTATATTCGGAAGTATATTCGGCTCATCGTTTACACACCGGATCACATTTCGTATCTGTTTTTCTATTTCTTGTCCCCCATTTCAACTTACCTTGAAATTCAGTCGTCCCAATTTCTGTTCACTCTGTTTATCCTCTTCGTCGCCCTCTTCAGCATTTTCGGTGAGTTCCTCCATATCAGGCTGAACCTAGGGCATACCAGAACCCAATAACTATTTAGATTAAATAGCGCATTTGATACTTACTTTTTCTTTATACGCCGATCCTAACAATTGTACCGATTTCATATCAACACCCTTCTTACCCTTACCGTCTTTGGTTCGTCGTTTTTTCAAAAATCGCCGCACACAAAAGAATATGATGCCGAATACGACAAGGAATACCAGGATAATAATGGCCACCACACCCCAGGTGGGTATGCCAGTTTTTTCAGCAATAACTTCTGTGACTTTTTCGCCAACATCTTCGACTTTTTTGAGTACCGATTTTGTTGTTGTTTCTTCTGTTGGGAGTTCAGAATTGGAAATAGGATTTAATGGAAGTTCAATTTATAGATGTTGTGTGTGTGTATGTTAGTGTTGTTGCTACTTACCTTCTGGTTCGGCTGTTGATGTTGCGGGTGCTAAAGTCGTTACTTCTGGCAATTTATTAACTCTTTGCTCTTCGGCCTGTTGAGCTATGGATTCGGGTTCCTCTGCTTTATGACTGGCCGATTCGAATGGCTCTGAGGGTGGTATTTCAGAGCCAGAACCATCGACTGTTTCTGCGTTTGGTGGCATTTTGGCTTACTGTGAAGTAAATCAATTAAGAAAAATAAAATAAAATTGCATTGAATACAAATGTTTGAAATAAGGATTTAAAATTTCGTCGTGTAGAAGTTTACCAAACCAACCAGACCACACCATATACCATGCTATATTCAGGGCAATTTCTTGCTATTCGATATTTGAGACATCTTTTGTGAAATGTTTCATTTGAATGTTGTTTGTATGCTTTTATTTCCCCCCTTTCCACCACAGAAAATGAAAAAGACAAAATGTGTATAATTTTCTATATCCCAAGAATTTCGTATGTGTCACGTACACACAACATAATTGAGAGCAAATAAATACAGTTTCATTTAAATGAGAAATACAGCGATCAAACTTATGAGAAAATCGTGACTTAATTTTCTCAGAATATCCTTAAGATTTAAAAGTTGAAGCATAAGTTGCAAAACGTTACTGTTTTTTAATTTAATTTATATATGAGGGAAGCAGTTTTAAGCGGTACTTTGCCACATCTACCACGAATAAGTAACTTTGTGCGGTTCTATATATTCTGAACATGAAACATCATCTGATCACCATCGAAAATTATAATATTGACCATAACCAGAACCGCAAGCAAAATTTCCTAAACTTTCCAATATTAAAATACGTAGATCCTGTTAAATATTTACGAGTACTTACAAAAATATAATTGGTATCAATATAAAGATTAACCACTCTCCTTGGATATATTATCAACTTCTTGGAACTATGTTCTTCAGAATTAGGCATTTACGCCAAAGAATACAAATTCTGTAATTTTTCACACAAAAGTCTGAGTTTATTTGACCCGCTAAATATTGAATGGTCTTTATCAAAACTGTTATGTTTATTTTTTGGCCAGATTCTCTTCTCCATGCAAAATTTCGGGTCATAATTGTGACCTCTAGAGCGACTAGAAAAAAATACAAAAATAAAGTTGTTGGTTCATTTCATCCTCTTAATATTAGGTTTGGGGAAAAAGAAATTCATTATAAAAATGTCGATAATATCGGAGAAATGATCGACGTCGACCGTCATTTAGCCGTCGTAACATCATACAGGAGCTAAAAATCGACTATAAAATAGTTTTAAACTATTTACACAAAGCTGGATTCAAAAAGATGTTTGGGTGCTACACCAATTAACAAAAACAAAAAAATAAGATATATCGAATTTCCATCTGCGAAGCCTTGGTCAAACGGAATGAGATAGATGAGAAATGGATCACATACGATAATCGTCGTGGTCAAACAGCGGTGAAGCACCTCAAACGATGACCAAACCAGGACTAACGGCCAGGAAGGTTCTGCTATGCATTTGGTTGGATTGGAAGGGGATTATTTATTATTAGTTGTGTTCCACCAGGACAACGTTAGGTCACACACATCTATAGTGACTCGCCAGAAACTTCGGGAGCTTGCTAGGGATGTTTCAATACATCCGCAGTACAGTCCGGACTTGGCACCAAGCCATTATCATCTTTTTCTTGCATTGCAAAATTTCTTTAAAAAATTAGTATCTAGGGAGGATTGTGAAAATCGACTACTAGAGTTTTTTGCAAATAGAGAGCAGGACTTCTATGAGAGAGGCATTATGAAGTTACCTTTGACATGATAAGAAATCATACAACAAAACGGTATATATTTGGCCCAAATTGGACATTACGTGGTAATGATCGTGACGATTGGTCCATAACTATGTACTTGTGTAGACCGACTCAGCTAGTCGAGAAATCGGTATATTAAAAGGTGGGTCTATAACTAATATTTGGGGTATAAATATAATATAAATTCGTTCGTCCTATTTTGGACTTTTCCTTACTGGTAGGTTAATAGAAATTAACTTCTATGACAAAAAATTGACTGTTGACAATTTTTTTATCTGGTATTACAGTTTCTCAAGAAAGTGAAGCGTAGAACTGATATCCAATTTAGATATCAAATCAAACTCAACAATGTATTTCCCGTTCCATATTTCTGTATCAATATGCCTCCATATTTTTATGGAACACATTTTTCAAGGTCAGCATTTTTTCCCTTACGTTGAAATTTTAACATCCTTTTTATATATTCCTGAATATATTTTACATTACACATTACCACCTAAAAGGTTGTACTGAATTTTCCATTCACTCGAATTAGAATGATTACTTTATTTCTACTACTCGACATCTTTTGCAAGGAACAACCCATCTTTGCATACATTAAAACATTACAAGGAAACAACGCCAGGACTATTTTGCAAAATTGTCACATTTCCGTATCCAATTACTTTCAATATTGAGATGCTCTCACTTTTATGCCATTAACATAAAAGTGCTTAGTTGGCGTTTATCTAAACCTGCTGGGTTTGTGTGTTATCTTATCGTCGCTGTCGCTGTTGTTGTTGCTATTTGTGGTTTGTTTTCACACTGATGTTGCCTCAGTTCATCAGCATGTAAAATGAAACGAACGCCTACTCGTTGTTTTATTTTGTGTTTTTTTTTCTTCTGATGTTTCTATCTCCCGTTGTTCCGACGCCTAGTTGGCATTTCATTCTTATTGAAGTTTTTCTCATTTTGGTTTTTTGTTGTTGTTATGATTCTTCTCTAGCGAATGCATTTATCCATATGACCAGCAAGCCATAAAGCTCAGTCATTCAACAACAAACCATCTATCCTTTGAGCGATACTTTAATCGAAGTACACCACATGCCGGGCAAACAAGAAGAATAATAAAAAAAAAATCTCCTGTCAATATGACAAACACAATATTCAAACAACGATGAGATGACATTCTAAAAATACATTTATGCGTCGTTATTTTTTGTTTTGAGTTTGAAATTGATTTAGCAATCAATGTTTCTATGGAAAAAATAAAGAGGAAATTCAATGATTATGATTGCATTTTAAATGGGGAAGCTGGCCCGAGTGGATATTGAATTTAATAGATTTTTTAAGAGTTTTCTTTGATTACTGGCCGTATTGAAATCTAAATTATTATTTCCATGGAATTTTCGTAGCAATATCCGGCAAGTGTGATCGTTGCTTTAGACACGTCCATGTGTTTTTAATTGATTTATTTACATCCGCATTTGTATTAGTGTCACGTAGCGTATGAGTGCTGAACTAATTCTGTAGCACTTATACGCCGCAATGAAGTAATCAAATATTCACACACACTCACACTGACACTCAAACATTCAACCGTTCGTATTGTAACCATTTTCATAATTTATACACCCCTCTATACAATTACGCACACACACGGTAGCAAAACAAATGAAGGCTATAAAATGTAATTGTCTTTTGTCTAAAATATGGCATAAATTTGCATAAATATGAAGATTAAATATTTAAAAATACATTTTATTCAAATATGACGTGGGTTTAGTTCAAGGTTAAATTACATTTTAATGAGGGACTATTTACAACCTATGCCGCTAAGTGATTCCAAGAGGATTATTCTATTCTTTGTTTTTTTTTTCATGAACTTGTAACCCATTTACCATTTTTTATAAAACCTATGGAATGTGGGACAATATTATTCGATATGAATTCAGATATTTATTTTAAACGGTAAAATATGTAGTTCTGGTCAAGACAAGAAGAAGCTGGCTGGCAGCATCTGACGTTTCCATTTGAAAATTTACAATTTTATAGAATGGGGATGAAGCACTGGTCCTAAACCCGAAGAACATGAGGCCAATGAAGACACGTATTGTTTCTGGCAGCAATCGGGTAATATTTAGGGGTTTTAAGTGGGCCAAAAACTTTTTTGCCAGTTTTTCTGGTCGCTCTAGAAGTTACACAGAGAAAGATATATATTTTCATGATAATGTGTAAGCATTTTGAGTGAAAAATGGGGAAAAAATATTTCTAAAAGGCTTAGAACGGAGAAGAAGTTGACAGTATATCCAAGAGGAGTGGCTGAGCTTTAAATTGATGCTCGGATAGGGGATTTAAACTAAAATATTTACATGTGGCTTTGTGTTACGATATTGTTTAGTTTTACCATTGCCACACTAGATGGCCTAAATGCTATGAAGTTTTACATGATGTTCCGGTTATGGTCGAGGTAATTATCGGGTGCAAAACAAAAATAGAAAAGTAGTTCCTAAAAGAAGCACATCGAAGCAATTTTTCACACGTTCTGAGTGGTACACTACAATTTATTTGTCTGAATTCTACTGAGAAATTATATAAAAAGAGACGAGCCACACCCTGACAATCCTAATTCTATAAAACCAATGGTCGTTTGACTACCCAAAACATGGAATTGAGCAGTGTATGGTTCACGAAGAAGCTCATCTTCATTGTTTGAAGGTTTCTCTATCGGAGTGGAAAAATTGCTTTGACTGACAGTTGGTTTGAGTAAAATAAAATTGCTTTGATATTTTTTGGTCCGTTCTCATATTTGTGATATAGAGATATACAGTAGACTTTGTATCCTACACGCATTTAACTGTCATACTGAATGGTGTTGTAATTTTAGTATTCAAATGAAAATTCCATTTTTATACCATCAGCCTTATGACTAATGTGGGTATTTACAATTTGATCATCAAAATCCTTTTCAGACAATTTCGAGTCGATTTACAAATGTTCGTCCGCCTGTCTGTCTGTTTGGCTGGTGCGCATGATAACTCTCGGAGGAAGTAACCGACATCATTTAAACTTTGCACATCCTAACTTTAGGTTGGGGAAAAAAGAAATCCATTATTTTTATATGAATTGTAGGACTTTATTTGGCATGTTTCGGAATGTTCGATTTGTTCAAATATGCGCCGTTTTGTTGTATGATTTGTTGTCATTTTAAAGGTAACTTTGTAATGCTTCTCTCATAGAAGTCCTGCTCTCTATTTCGATTTTCACAATCCTCCCTAGATACAAATTTTTTATCATTAAAAAAATTTGCAATGCAAGAAAAATATGATAATTGCTTGGTGCCAACAAAGCTCCCGAAGTATCTGGCGAGACACTATAAATATGTGTGTGGCCTAGCATTGTCCTGTTGGCCAATTCTGGCCAATTGCTGTCTTCAAACGGTCCAGTTGTTGACAGTAGAGATCAGGTCATATGGAAGCAACTCATAATAAATAATCTCTTTCTAGTCCCACCAAATCCATAGCAGAACCTTCATGGCCGTTAGTCTTGGTTTGGCCACCGTTTGAGGTACTTCACTGCTCTTTAAGAAATGGGTCTATCTCGTTCCGTTTGGCCAAGGCTTTGTAGATGGAAATTCGATCTCTCATATTTGTTCTGTTAATTGGCGTGGCTCCCAAGCATCGAGCTTCTTTTTGAATCCAGGTTTGTGTAAATGCTTTAAAACCGTTTTATGGTCAATTTTAAGCTACTGGGCATGCTAACATGCCGGTCAACTTCGATCATATCTCCGATTTATCGACATAGTTCATATAAAAATAATGGATTTCTTTTTCCCCAACCTAATATTTCTACCAAACATAATTCATGTTTGAAGATAGGGAATATCGGTCAACTCCTTCTTGTACCTCCTTCACAAAATCGTCAAAATTGGGCTAAAAATTGTATAACCTATTATCTTTACCAAGCCTAGATCAAACCATTTTTGATGATAGATACTAACAGTTCCATTCATAGGTAAGCAATATACATTGTAGCGCTGTATGTATTAAGAGACTCTTAAATGGTTTTGGATTCCATTTTGTAGCTGCATATTTTCAGTTTTGGTTCAAATGAAAATAAATTGTTACATTTTGTCAATATGTTTATAGCAACTTGGAACTCGAATTCTTTAAGTTTTAATATTCCTATACTCTACATACAACATATATAGTCAAAACTACGTCAGTCTAATCAAGATTAAATTTTCCAGAAATTACTTAACATTGTCTTGGACAAGGTTTTTTTCTGGATAAAGTTATCAGTAGTGGTTATAAAAATTCGAAAACTTAAAGCAAACGGATGTTTGAAAAAATTCCATTGTGAAATCTTTAAACATTAAGAAACTTTAACATAATATCTAGATTAACACACAAACACAATTTCTTGTTATTTTTTGTTCTATTCATAGATTATGACCACATATCCTGCTCAAAAAAGACTACAACAACTACAAAAGCAATAAAATGTTCCAGATTGAAACCATTGAACTGCACTAAACATCTATAGATGGACACTTATCCACATACATATACATAGGTATGTATGTATGCATGCTTGTAGTTGGTCGACCGCAGTAAGAAGAAGTGTCATTCGCACGACGCCACTTTGTCACAGACTCATGGCTCATGTGGCAATGTGTGTGTGTGTTTGTTACTGCTCTACTGTCGTTTGCATTGGCATGGAACAGCCCTGGCAAAGGAAGACCAAATGATTTCATTGAAATTAGATCAATATCGATGGAGGAAAACTTGCCACGGTTTTGTTGAGTCAGTTGGCAGAGTTGTGTGGTATGTTCTGGATATTGCCTTTGTTATTTTTCTTCTCTTCGAGCCATTTGAATTTTCCTTGCCATCATAATCGAACCGAATAACCTTGACTGCAGTGAACTTTAGAGTTGCCCGGAGTAGTTATGAGTAGAAAGTTTTCATGCATTAACAATGCATGGAGGTTGGTTGTGGCATCATCGTAAAATATAATTTTTGCATGATCCGATACTGTAGAATAACAGCAGCACACACACATACACCGCAAACTAGTGCATCAATGATTATATATCTACTGTGTATTTATTAATTTGTTATGAATTCTTTTTATCCTTATTCTGCAAATTGTTGTTGTTATTGCAGTTTGTTATTAGTTTGCTGTTCTCATTCGTGTCACATTATTCATTCTAGTTTTTCTTCTGTTTCGGGATTTTTTCTATGGCAACTTGACAAATGCTATCAGAGTTCATCATCGTCATCATCATTTCCCTCTCTTGGTAATAAGTGGTCGTTTTTTTTTGTATTGTGTATTGCAATTATGTGTAGAATAACCACAATAATAGAGGCAAAATAAAGACCTCAGGGTTGACATAGTTTGGTTTTTCTCTTCTTATTGTTTTTTGTTGTTATTTTACCTCATTATCGATATGCAATGATGCAAGGTAGCCCGATTGAGATAACAAGAAGAACAAAAAATTCCTGGAAAATTATTTCACAATTTTTAAGTCGAACTCATGGAAAATTCGAAGTAGATATTTTATTATTTATTTATACAATGGGCCTAATTAAATAGATATGGGGACTCTAAGAGATATTATTCGTGGGGCTAATTGTCTTCTACTGGATATGAAAAATTCACACTTATGCAAATTTTTTTCAAATGGTGTATTTGTTTAAAGTCTACATTTTTACGTTTAAGTTTTATTGTAATATACCTGAATGCGATTGTATTCATCAAAGACAATTCCATATTTTTGATTTGGAAAACGTTTTTCAATGGTTTTTGGTCTATACGAATGCAAAGTGTTTTTCGAGAACTATGATGCATAATTTTTCTACAAAGCGACCTATAGATTAAACAAGTACAAAAGTGTCAGTCGGTGTTGTCGATAGATATTAGGTTGCGGAAAAAGAAATCTATTATTTTTATATGACTTTTTTAAAATGCTTCGGATTGCCCGGTTTGGGCCAAATATGTTGTATGATTTGTTTCCATTTTAAAGGTAACTTCATAATGTCTCTCTCATAGAAGTCCTGCTCTCTATTTGCAAAAAACTCTATTATCGATTTTCACAATCCTTCTTAGATACCAATTCCGGAGTTACAAGAGGAAGCGGACCAATTAGTGCAATATTCTGACTTGATCTAGAATTGATAGAGATAATAGGTTGTGCAAAGTTTGGTTCAAATCGGGCATTCTATTCGCCTAATATTGGATTTATAAATATTGAAAAATCTTGACCATTTGTGGAGTGGACCAATGGATCCCATCTAGGCTTCGTAAAGATGATAGGTCAAATCGGACATTCCATTATAAAAATTGTAAATTTTGACCATTTGTGGACTGGATATATGCTGGGTAAAGATGATAGGTTCTGAAAAGTTTGGTTAAAATTGGAATAGTCGGTTCACATAACATTGCAAAACCAATTTGCAGCAAATTTTTTATAATTTTGTGGGGGAGGTACCAGAAGGAGTGGACAGATATTCCCCATCTTCAACTAAGTTTGAAAGAAATTGTACGATGTGCAAAGTTTGGATGAAATTCCAGCCGGCCAGACAGACAGACGTACATTTGTAAATCGGCTACAAATTGTTTAAGGGAACCCCACCCATTCTCGATTTTAATTTTTCAAGATTTTCAATGGGCTGGTAAATCAATACCAATGCTTGTTAAGGTTTGTAACTTTGCACATATATATTTGAAGATTTAAAAGAGAAGAAAAATAATTTACAAAAAATTTTTGTTATTGTTTTGTTGTTGTTTTTTGTAAATAAAGAAAAGAAAAATGATAACTCCTCACTGGAACATCGGAATCCGAAAATTCCAACGGTTTTAGAAAGAGTACATGTCTGGCTCTCGTATGAACTAGGATTATTGACTTCGCTCTAAAATTAACAAAATGGCGGACCTTTGAAAAAATAATTTTGGAAAATCGCCGATTTTTGACCAAAAATCAAGTTAAAAAATAAGGGAGATCTTCACCGATTGGCTTTATCCTAGTTCATACGATAGCTTTACACTCACAGAGAAACGTGTAAAAATTTGGATTCGATTGGGTTATTAGTTTTTGAGTTATCGTGCCCGCCATTCGCAAAAGAGAAAAACGC